AAATATAAAATATTAAATTATTAAAAATGATTTTGAATTGGTAAAGTGTATTTTCATAAGTACAACTCTATCAATTCCTCTTTTAAAAGTCACATGGAAGGAATCTTATATTCTTTTTTTTGATCCACATTCTACAGTGACTTGTGGTAGTTTCGTGTATACTGTAAACACAACAACCATTGAAACTGGGGAGGACATCAAAAACTGAGAAGGACAAGAGCATTGTGAACTCCATACATCTCATGCCTCATTAGTAGTTTTTAATTCATGTCAGTCCTTATCCATGAACTCTAATTCTATCACTTCAAATAAAAGGTGAGCTATTTTGACAGCTCACATCATGACTTAATTTGGAAAAAATAATCAAGTAAGATTCATACATATATCATAAGTAAACCCATTAGCATGAACCACACATATTATCTGAAGGTGATAAGTGCCACTCTGCTATGGTTATAGTTAAAAACTTTAATTGATTTTGCTCAAATATTTTAAAAATGAGATTATAATGAGAATCCAGCAGCTCTCACCTCCCTCCTTTCCTCCTTCCCATGTACCCACCCTTGCTCTCTTTTGAATTCTTTGCTTTATTCTCTAACTGCTGATATTTCTCCTGCTCTCAAAATTCCTTAAGTGACTGGATTCCTAGAGTTCAGCCTAGTGGCTGGTTAAGGATTTCTGCTTCTATTTCCATCAATAACTGAATGAAGACTCTATAATGATAGTTGGGGTATTCACCAATCTTATTACAGCTCAGGCCCCCTCACCACTATTGCTGGGAGTCTTAACTAGGACCATCCTTGTGAATTCTTGGGGATTTATTTACCTAGCATCAGGTTTCTCCTTAACACCATAGTGACTCTTTCTCTATCATGGTATCTCTTTCAAGAATACATGAGCAAGGAAGGAAGGTCAAGATCATGATGGATAAATCTACAGAGATAGCTGAACTAATCTCATGGAAACTCGAGAACTCTATACAGAGAGCAGTGGAGCATCCATGGGACTAAACTAGGCCCTTCTTGTGTTGGAGACCGTTGTGTAGCTTGATCAATCTGAGGGACCCTTGGCAGTAGAACAGGTGCATTAATAGCGTGTTGGAGTCCATTATCTATGAGGGTATATCATGGTCAGCATCAACACAGTGGGAAGTGGTTGGTCCTGCAACAACATAATGTGCCATATTTGATGACTCCACATGGGAGCCCTTACATGTTGGGAATGGATATGTGGTGGGCTTGAGAAAGGAAAGGGGAAAAGGAGACGTGGGAATGAGAACATTCATGGGAATGTAAAATGAAATGAAAAAATAAATTTGCATTCAGAAGACTGCAGTTAGATGCATGTCTGTCATCTTGCACAAAACTTAAGTCCAAATGAATCAAAGACCTCAAAATAAATCCAACCACACTGAACCTCTTAGAAGAGAAAGTGGGTGGTACCCTGGATGGAGTTGGTACAGGAAACAGCTTCCTGAACATAACACCAGTAGCACAGAGAGTGAGATCAACAATTAATAAATGGGCCAACTCATACAGCCACTTTGGAAAACAGTATGGAGATTCCTCAGGAAAATGGGAATCAATCTACCACAAGACCCAGCAATTCCATTCTTAGGCATATATCCAAAAGATGCAAAATCATACAACAAGGACATCTGTTCCACTATATTCATAGCAGCATTATTTGTAATAGCCAGAACCTGGAAGCAACCTAGATGCCCCTCAACTGAAGAGTATATAGAGAAAAGGTGGTACATTTACACAATGGAGTGCTACTCACCAGAAAAAAGCAATGGAAACTTGAAATTCGCTGGTAAATAGATGGCAGTAGAAGAAACCATCCTGAGTGAGGTAACCCAGTCACAGAAAGACAACATGGTATGTACTCACTCATATATGGATTTTAGACATGGACCAGGATATTGCCAGTCTACACTTCCAATGCCAGAGAGTCTGGGGAACAGGAAAGAACCTAAGAAAGATATGCATGTTACCCCAGAGAAGAGGAATGAGGCAAGATCTTCTGAATAGATTGGCAACACGGCGAGAGGTGGGGAGGGAGTGGGAGTTGGGAAGAAGAGAGGGGGAGAAGAGGAAGAGTAGGTCATGGGAAAACAGAAGGGTTGAGTGGAGGGTAGAATAGGGGGAGAACAGGATGAGAAATACCATAATAGTGGGAGTCATAGGGTAGAAGACAGATCTGGCACCAGTGAGACCTCTATTGATCTAAAGGGATGACACCAACTGGAAAGCTAAGCAATAGTGGAGAGACTACCTTAAATGCCCATTCCTGATAATGAACTTGATGTCTACCCTATATACCATCTTAGAGCCTTTATCCAGTGACTGATGGAAACAGAGGCAAACACCCACAGTTAAACAATGAACTGAACCCATGGAACCCAGTGACAGAGATTGAGGAGCATTGAGCAAATCGGCAAAGAATGGGCTGGCAAAACCAGCAGAGACAGCTGATCTGAACAAGGGGGAGCTCTTGGACCCCGGACGGACAGCTGGGAGACCAGCATGGGACTGATCCAGAGCCCTGAGTGTCAGAGTCAGTGAGGAGGCCTGGGAAACCTATGGGGCCCTGGGCATACAAATGGACTTTGTGTGTCCATAACACAAAGAGGGATGATCTCTTAGCCTGGACTCTTAGGGGAGTGCCTGGAACCTGCCCTGAGCAAAATGACAGACCCTGAATATCCCCTATGTGGAAGGAAGTAGAGACAGGGTGGGAGGTTGGGGGAATGGTGAGGGGGCATGGGAAGAGGGGAGGGAGAGGGAACTGGGATTGGCATGTGAAGCAACCTAATTAAAACTAAAGTGTGACCTTGATGAAGTATGTCTGGCCTTGTTGAAGGAAGTGTGTCACTGAAGTGGGGGGATAAGCTTTGAGATTTCAGTTGGGTTGGGGGAGGGCATGGGAGGAGGGCAGGGAAATGGAGAGGGTCCTGGAACTGACTTGTGAAGCAACCTTGTTTCTAATTTAAATTTATATTTAAAAACGAATAATAAAAATAAATAAATAAAATATATATATAAAGAATTTTCATACTACTCCATGAGTGGACTTAGGCTTAGAATGATACCATGTAGGCATATACTTAGAAATAATAACTTCATAAAATTTTAATATTTGTAAAACATTGTGCTAATATACAGTCTTTTAAAAGAGACATCTTCTATTTTAAAGGTCAGACTGCATTTGTTCATAATGTTTCCACTAACTTATGGAACTTTTTTAGTTTCCATTGAGGTATAAATGGATATTTTCTCTGTCACTAGAGGAGACAGGAAACATGAATGTGCTTTCTAGAAGAACCATAGGTCTCAAAATCATAATAACTGATTTGTAATGTATTAGATGCCAGATAATATAATGGAACGCAAGTAAATGGATCTCTATGAAGTTACTACTAGGTATGGTCCTTTATAACATAGATTTAACTTATGCATTTTCATGTAGACTTTGGATGTGATGTCACAATTGCTTTTAATGGTGGCAATCACGATTATCAGTTTAGGCCCAATACTGCAGTTGATTAAAATACAGTCAGGAAGTACCTGATACAATAACTTTAAAGATATGTCCGCAGTGAATTCAAGTTTAACTTACTAGTCAAAACTTTTCAATATTTGTTTTTAATATAACAAGATGAGAGTGTGGACCGGGGAGGGTTTCTGAATTTAGAGGTACCTAATACAGATTCTCTCTGAATATGCATCTCTATAAATAATAATAATGAACCATCTTCATTGCTGATGTGCATACTGACATAGTCCTGTGGGTAGAGGGAAGCATGGAAATTCGATATCAGAGACAAATTATGCACTTTTAGTTCAGAATATTTTTTTTAATTTTGATGAAATAGAAGAATTAAACATTTTCTTGTCAAGGTTTTTAAAGATAAGTCATACAAAGTTTAAAACTTTATTTTTAGAATACAAAATTATTTCCTGAGCACTCAAGTTAATGTGACAATAATTAAATAGATTGTGTCATACTAGAGCTACTATTGGGATTCATCTGAGAAAGTTGGCTCTGCCCTGGTTCCTCATGTGGTGTGCTGTTGATTTATTAACCATGTCTCCATATACCCCTGAATTCTGGTGAGGGTGCCTTGAGTTAGCACAACAGTCCCAGAGTAAACAAGAGGCACCGAGTCTTTCATGATGCCAACATTATGAAAATTATTTGTCCTTTTAAGATAATAAACATTGAAATAACTGGAGCAACACTCATCCAAGCCACTCATTATTGTTAATGACATTTTAATCAATGTGCAGTGAGAACAGCAGTAGAAATGGAGATTGGGCTCACTACACTCCACTCCTCAGCTCCGTCTGGTGAATTGCCCGTCTTTTTCCAGCCAGATTGCCTACAGATCTTCCACACACATGACTAAAAGATTCCTGAAGATCACTTTTATGGCATACTAAGTATGATTACTATGAAGTGTGAATTATGTCTGATTATTTTACTAGTAAAGAAACAAATAGAGCTACACTTATTATTACTATACATTCAAAGTCGGTACAGTGCCTCTTTTGTGATGTCTACCACAGTAAATATCCATGATCCAATCGGAAGTGTTGCCAAATTCCTGCATCTCTTAGCTAGAGAATCCTCCAGACTTTTAAAGAATGCTGACATTACACAGTGCAAAAAATGCTTACACGAATAATTATTCAATCTGTTTCAAGAGTTAAAATAGGGAATCAAAATTTCCATTTTAAAAAGTACCTTATTACCTGTGCACTTTGATTGGGATAAATTCTCTACTCTTGTCACCAGCTTACTACCTGTTTTCTCTTTCTCGTTTAAATGCAATCAATTATTGTTTACATTATCTCTTCATTAAATCAACAACACTGAAAAAACTAAATTAATAAAAAAGTTTTTTAAAAAAATAAATTTAAAATATTGATTCATCTGAAGAAATTACACAACAAAATAATAACATATTATAATTTATCAAATCAATAAATAATTCTTTATGTACTTAAAAATCCTTCCTTATCTAAGGATGAGGCCTGATAGGCTTTCCCCTTTCACATTAGCATGTTTAATCATGTCTTCCTTGTACAAGTCCTGTTCACGAAGCCTGATTGACAAGTCTGGGATTCTGTCATTTATAAAACACAATTCAGCAGAAAGGCCCCTTTAAATTGGTTCCTTTGATAGTTTTAAGGTGTTGATTACACTTATATTTAAGGAGATTTTAGCAATGTTCATCTATCATGCCTAGAAAAGTTTCATCTCTACAACTTCAAATTTCTAAAACAGCCCATCACAATATATGAAGACTCAATAACCACTAGATCATGCAACATTGTGAAGTATCAGTTAATTATAATGTGTTGACACATTAGCTGGGATGTACATGGACATTTAATGAGTAGATGTAAAATGTGAATTTATAAAGAATGTCAATGATGAACATACTCTGCTAAGAATCTTCCTTAAGGCAGTTTTAATGTCCTTATTCCTCAGGCTGTAGATGAAGGGATTCAACATAGGAGTGACCACAGTGTACATCACTGAGGCAACTGCATTACTTTTTGTGGAATGGGACAGAGAAGAGCTAAAGTACACTCCTAGTCCTGTTCCATAAAACATGCAAACAATGGACAAATGCGACCCACAGGTGGAGAAGGTTTTGTGCTTCCCACTTGATGATTGTGTTCGCATGATGGAGGAAACTATTTTAAAGTAAGAGAAAATGATTCCTGAAATAGGAAGTAACCCAAAGATAATGCCTATACAATATCTGACTATGTTACAGATGACACTATCAAAACAGGCAAGTTTGAGGACTTCAGAAGAACCACAGAAGAAATTAGAAATTTCATTATATTTCTCAAAGTTGTAAAATTTTAATATTGCCACATAGTGCAACAGTAATTCCAGAAGACTAATAAGAAAAGACCCTAGAACTAAGACACCAGAGCAACTGGGATTCATAATGACCTGGTAATACAGAGGGTAGCAGATGGCCACAAACCTGTCATACGCCATCACAGCCAGAAGCATGCTATCCATACATCCAAAAATTATAAACAGTGACATCTGTGTAAGGCAGCCCAAATAGGAGATGACTGGGCAGTGAACATGGATGTCCACAATCACCCTTGGAACAGTGGTGGAGATGAAACCAATATCAACCATGGACAGGTTGGAAAGGAAGAAGTACATGGGTGTGTGGAGATGGGAGTCAGAGCTTACTGTCAGGATGATGAGCAGGTTTCCAAACAGGGTCAAGATGTACATGAACAATAAAAGGCCAAAGACAACAGTCTGTAGGTCTGGATCCTCTGAGAGTTGAATGAAGTGGAATTCTGGTAGAGATGTTGTGTTTTTCATGTTTTTATTTCTTGAACATCTTCTGGAGATAACCAAGAATGTTGTTAGCAATGATACCAGAATGCATGTAGACCATCTTTAAAATTTGAGACAACTATGTACAAATATATATATATATATATATAATTTTCTGAAGTTTATTATGACATCATTAATAATTACACCATATTTTGTTCTTACGTTATATGTTACCTCTTATGAGATCCATGTTTAATACAGTAATCTAGAAGATGAGGTCTGAGTTACTACAAACAACTGGCCTGTAGTCATAGTAAAATAAAGAAAATACCTTTAAGACAAAATAGGTATTTTATAAAAGTTTCACTTTACATGAATTGCTAATCAAATAAAATGAAAACTTGAAGCATTTACATATGCTTTTTCTTATTGCAGTAACAAGGAGCAAATATATTTACTTGCAATATATCTGACAGTGTGAAGCCCTAGTCTCTAAGTAACAATTTATGACTCCTACCCAGAAAATATTTTTCAGACTCCAGCATCTTCTATGGTTTTCTTTTATTCTTTGACTTAAAATAATATTCTCAATTGAGGGGGATTTAATTCTTTGTTAATAACTTACTTAAAATTTTAAAATCATTTGTATATGTATTCTTACTTATCTTAGTATATTTCAAATGTTGTAAATATATCTTAGTTACATCGACATTGTTAAAGAATATTTCTCTCCACAGCTGCTGAGCTGTCCAGTGATGTGAAAAATAGTGAACTGTCAATAAATACAGCTGAAATTTTATGCTGCAAAGCTAATTTGGGAGATCAATTCCACATAATATCAGTAAAATATCTGGTATAAAAAGATGATTATCCTGTGTCTCTGAAATGCCACTGATTTTGTGAAGTGCAGCCAGCTTGACCCAGGGCCCTATTTCAGTACCCTCCTCCTAAGACGGTAAAGTGATTTACATGAGAGACAGGCCTGGAGTATGGATGTCCATGTTCTTACTTTAGCTACAGAGGAAATTTCAGATTCACTTTTAAGCCAGAGCACACTGAATTGCTTAAAATATAAAAGATTTAAAATATCAATAATGTTAGTGAAACAGAAACATGGGCAAATGGAGATTATTTTTTAAGTCAAAGAAAAAGCCCATTTCTTACGGAGGGATGCTATTGAAGCCCAGATACATGAAAGTGGGCCTAGGACTTCCCCCAAATAATGTGGAAGATTTTGGTAGTTCTCCCATGGAAGGCTTCACTATCCTTAGGAAGAGGATGGGGTGAGTTGGGTGTCAGTATGGGGAATCGGAGGATGGAAGGGCAAGGGAATGGGAGGATTGATATACAAAATAAGATTTTTTTCTAAAATAAAATTCATAAAGTGGAAAAACAAGAAAAAATTTGTGAACTTCATTAAACAATTTAATTAGATTATGTCCATGGAAAATACAATATTATACTTAAGGCAACCTGAGGTAGAAAGCACTGCATTACAATACTTTCTGACATTTAGAAAAAAATCAATTAATGCCACCTAAGTAATAATACTTCTAACAGAAACTCACCATGACTAAATCATAAGCATTTTATACTATGTGTGTCAGATGTGATACTTCACAGAAATTTGAATTATGATCATGAACTTTGACTATTTGTGGTTCTGCATGATTTTATTGTCTAATTGATCTGTCTCAGTGACTGATAGGAATTCAGGGTACAGTTTTTTCCAGTGATATTTCCATATAAATACCTATTGAAGTATATATAAAGAACCATATTAAATTAACCTACTGCATACTTGATACACATTCAATAGTATACAACACAGCACATGCTGTCCCTAAAATGGATTTCCTCACACTGAAGTGAAGTTCTAGGTCTCTCTGTGAACTTCCCATATCAACTGCACAGGTATTAGCTGAATAACTGCCTCATGGAGAGACAGACATTAGTTTTTAAGTTCCATATTTATGTAGGAAAACATGAAAAGAGAGAGTAATAAATTGACGTTTAAAAGGACCTATAATTTGCTTAGGAAATATTAAAGCACATAAAGTAGAATTAGCTAAAGGAGTGTCCCAAGTTGTCTTATCAGGAAGAGTACAATACTCCAGCAAGACAAGCTAATCTTAATTGACAGCTGCCTGATCAAAGCAGTCCTGGTTTGTCTCCAGAGCACTATGACAATAGTATACACTGAAAATCTCCTCACTTGTTCAAACCACAATATTTGGAAGTTTCATCTCCTTAAAACAAGGTTAATTACTCAAAATGCAACGTGAAGCTATGAAACAAAAAAGCAAATATGGTTTTCTACCCTGTCTGACTTCCTTTTGTCCATGAGGCAAAACAGGCATGCACTATTAGCAAAATAATTTCCCTTGTTAGTCTTTAAGTAGTAGAATGGGTTTACCTGAACATATTGTTAATTCTGTCACAAAATTACTTAGATCATCCAAAAGCTCATTTGTCTTCCTCTACTCATACCAGTGGCTTTAGTTAAATTATAAAAATATGTTAACAACCAGACTTGCATCAATAGATGTCTATGTTTTTAATATTCATCAGCTGATTGTTCCAATAAAAAAGTCAACCGGATACTCAAACCATTTTTAGGTTTTGCACTATAAACTATTGTATTTATGATATTATAACATATAAGTATCGTCCAATTTGTATAATGATTTTCACACTTCTCCCATTAAAGACATCCTCCTAATATGCACCATCAAAAATGGTGACATCTACCTAGCTACACTTCCAATATACTGTAATATGAGATGCACTCACATGTAGAATACATTTCTATTTGTATTCAATTGTGAAGACAGTAGCTGTGGCTGAGAATCAGTGAATCAGGAGAACATTTATGTTTTTTCCATTGTCGCATGCTCATACAACCAAGGATAACAGCCCATCTTCATTTGAAAACTGAAAAATGTGCATTGTGTTTATTTGTCCAAATTTTAAATGCTATAACTATAGAAAATGAGTTTATTGGATAGTACTTCTAAAGGCTCTAGACCACAGAATTATGTGAAACTCTAAAGTGTGTCTTCACACAATGCAAAAAAATGACCTTCCATTACTTTTATGCCTCTACATTCCTTTATATTCAGGTGAGAATATGTACAATTACCTTTGAATATTCTAATAATGCAGCTCTTAAATTCCACAGATGACCCAAATAATCAATGACATGAATCAAACACCAAAAAAACACATCTGAATCAATTTCTAACACATATTCCTGAATAAAATGAAAATGTACAGGCAACCAAATAATGGAAGTCAGTGTTTTGAGAGGACAAATGGGTGATTTAATCTTTAAAATATGTATTGTTCTTTCATACCTGTGACAATGACTCTTTAGACCCTATGAGTCCAAAAACTGAAAGGGAGAGGTAATAGATGATTTCAATATAAAAAAACCTTATATAAAGAATAAACTACAAATAAAATAGTTAGGAAACTTGGTTATATGATAGTTAAAGTGTCTTAGAATTAATAATAACATGTCCTATTTCACATAAATAAATAGCAGAGAAAAAATAATTCAAAACAACTGTGTCATTCTTTGTTTCTGAAGTGGTTTGGTTTGCTTTTATTTTATATTTGATTATTTTTATATTTCTAATTATAATATAGTAACATTTCTTCTGTCCATTTCACCTCTTCTAACCCCTATATAACTCACACCATAGTATTTCACATTCATAGCTTCTATATCCATTCACTGCTATTTCATTGACATATGCATATTTTCATGGATTACTAATCTTTATAGATTTAAGGAGAGATACAAAGTTCTTGACAGCACGTATCTATTTAAGCTCTCATGATTTCAAACTGCAGATGATATAGGGACCTGACCTCATTTTCTCAGAGTGATGGAAGATACTGACAACAACAAAATATCTGAAAAATAGATTGGAGTCTTTGTAGATCTATAAATCAGGCACTTCAGAAGGTGAGAACAAATATATTCTATAAATTCTGTATATATATATATATTCTTTATATTCTATAAAGAAAAATTATAGAAAATATCATAATTTTGGAATAGGAAAGATATATTCAGATAAAGTAAGATCCACAAAATTTAGAGCTCAGATCTTCTACCCAAGGAAGACCTTAGTAGTCACATACACATCATAACTTTCTTAAAATGTATAATTACTGAATCACCCTCACCAGCATGGCCACACTACTTACACTGACTATTAAATAACATAGTTGTAGTTATTTTCTTCTCCCGTTGGTCATATGAGTATGGAGAAGAGACACTGGGGATAATTCAATGAGAATTGTGGACTACCATTGCAACAAAGAACATTAAAGTCCAGAGGCTCAATTTTTATTGCAGTTATTATGTAATCATGCTATACAAATTATCATAGCTCATATGATTACAAAGAAATGATCATTCTTGTAGTCTTGTCTTCAAACTCAATTCCCTTAGAACTTACGTGAGCAAATTGTGGGTCTGTGTGGTCATGATGAAGGATGGTAGATATGATAAACCTCCCCTGCTTCTTGAATGTTGATGACTCAAGCTCACTCTTGAATCCTGAAGTGAATATAATAGCGAGAGCTTCCTGATGCAAGAACACCGTAGGAAGAGCAAATAGTGTTATACAGTCCTGGATTACAAAGATCAAGTTGACAACCTAATGGGACCTGCTGACTAATTACAATTAAGTAACCTTAGAAACTCATTGCACAGAACTGGTGAAAACTCATACTTGTCCAGAATATTGCAATCTCTAAGGAATTCCTGGAGATAACGGAGGAAGCACAAAATATGTTAAATGTTCTCAAGAGGTTAGCTTTGCAGTTATTATATTATTCATTTCCCATTGTATTTCTGTATGGACACTCATTAGTAATTCTGTTTTTATTTTTATTGGTAATCTACGCGATACTTTCTGTGTCTGCAGAAACCTGTTTCTTACTTGTGTTGCAATTCAAAGGCAAGAAATTTCCATGTCTATTCTAAAGATTCCTGAGAAAGATATCTCTGATCTCGGGGAATCCCATTCCTGAGGCTGATCTCTGCTTCTCTAAAGGTCTCTTCCATGCTACTGTGTCAGTTATGCCTCCACTATCACTCATAAGTCCCTAGAACTCCATGACAATGATTACACCTGCTAATGGGGAAGGGGTCTCCTAGGCAATTGAACACATCAATAAGACTATTGCACATGCTCTGCATCGAAAGAAACTGAGTGTTATTGAAAAAGAGAAGATGGAAAAACAGATCATTGACATGGACATCACTGAAAATAAATCTAAATTTGGTGTAAATGCCATTTCTGGATGTGTCCCTAGCTGTCTGAAAAGCTGGTGCTGTGGAAAAGGGAGTTTGTCTGCACCCTCACATGGCTGACTTGGCTGGAAAACCTGAAGTCATCCCATGGGTCCAACATCACAATGTGATCAACAGTGGTACTCATACTGGCAATGAGCTGCTCATGCAAAAGTTCATGATCCTGACTGCAGGATGTTCAGGTTCTGGAAAGACATGCTCATTGGACCAAAGGTTTACCACAACCAGAAGAACAGACACATAACTAACCTTCTTACATTTTAGCTTGACACAATGCCTCACTCTGTTGCCCAGTCCATCCTTGATCTCATTAGCACCCTGCTATAGATGAGCTCTCAACAGAGTACTTGCTAGGTATTTGTATTTCATTATATCTTTCAAGTGATTCCAACACATTCTAAATTTGAAAGTCACTGCTCTGGACTTCTGTTGAAAAAGCTGTGACAAACAAGGCTCCAGAATGAATCCTGAACTCATCTCCTTTCCACAATATTTTATTCTCTCCTTCCCTTTCTTGGCTCAATACTCAGGAATCTTCATCAAATATACTCATCCTGGAAACAAAGAAAAGACTGATGTACAGCTAATTACTTGGAATTCCCACTTTAAAAACTTAATTTCAATATTGAGGTGCTTTCCCACAGGCTCTCCCCTCCCCCAATTTCTTTTGTTTTATGTGTATGGATGCTTTCCCTAAATGTTTATCTGTATGTTACATGCACACAATGCCCACAGAGACCAGAAAAAGGTACTGGATCCAGCCATCATGTAGGTGAAAAGAAATGAATCCAGGTCCTCTGAAAGAGCAAGCAGTTCTCTTAACCATAGAGTCATAAATGCAACACATCTCTCTCTCTCTCTCTCTCTCTCTCTCTCTCTCTCTCTCTCTCTCTCTCTCTCTCTCTCTCTCTCTCTCCCCCTCTCTCTCTGTCTGTCTTTCTCAACATCAAGGACAACTTTATTTGTGTTTGAAAGGAAAAAAATCCAGAAGAGGTATACTATACATGTCAGTTGCTTCCTAGTATAGGGGAAGACAGTACATTAGGAAGAAGCCATCAGCATAGAGGTCAACCATGGGTTAGGAGGGGACATTTGGGGGGACAGCATTTCTCTGTGTAGCTTTGGAGACCAGGATGGTCTCAAACTCACAGAGATCTGCCTGCCTCTGCCTCCATAGTGTTGGAATTAAAGGCACGTGCTACCACTGCCTGCCAGGAGGAGACTTTTAAGAAAAGAAAACCATGCAAGTAATAACCAGGCCTGACCTTGCTTAGATTCTGAGATGAGATCTGGAGCCATGAGGGTGGTATGGTGACAGAATTTGAAATAAAAGAGTCCTAAATGTATGACAGGTACTTAAGAGAGTGCTCAACATTCTTGGCCATCATGGAAATGCAAAATCATTTTTGGCTAAAATAAAAAGCACCAATGACAGTTTATGCTGGAGAGCATGTGGAGAATGGGGAACACTCCTCCACTTCTGGTGGGAGGGCCAACTTGTACAGTCACTTTGGAAATCAGTATGAAGATTTCTCAGGAAAATAGAAATCAGTCTACCACAAAATCAAGCAACTCCACTCTTAGGCATATACCCAAAAGTTGAACATTCATAAAATAAGGACATCTGTTCAACCATGTTCATAGCAGCATTATTTGTAATATCCAGAACCTGGAAGAAATATAGATGGCCCTCAACTGAAGAGTGGTTAGAGAAAATATGGTACATTTACACATTGGAGTATTATTCAGTGGAGAAAACAATGAAATCTTGAAATTTGCAGGCAAATAGATGGCACTAGAAGAAACCATCCTGTGTGAGGTAACCCAGTCACAAAAAGACAAGCATGGTATATACTCACTCATATATGGCTTTTACATATGAAGCATGGGAGTTGCAGCCTACAGTCCCACCACCAGAGAGTCTGGGAGACAGGGAGGACCCTAAGAGAGATATGCATGATACACCTGAGGAGAATGGGACAAGATCCTGAAGTGATTGGGATCATGTAGGGAAGGGAGAGGGAGCTGGCAGAAAAGAGAGGAGGAGAAGAGGAGGACATGGGGGAGCAGGATGATTGAGTCAGTGGAAGAATAGAGGAGATCAGGATGAGAGATACCATAATAGAGAAAGTCATTATATGTTTGAGTAGAGATCTGGCACTAGTGAGATTTTCAGAGATCTACAAGGATGACACCAACTGGCAAACTATGCAATAGACTAACTTAAATGTCCTCACCCTACCCCCCACAACCCCGATAATTAGATTGAGGACTACCTCATATGCTGTCCTCGAGCCTTCATTCAGAGGCTGATGGAAGCAGAGCAGACACCCACAGCTAATCACTGAACTGAGCTGGTGGAAACCAGTTGCAATGAGGGAGAAGTGATGAGCAAAGGGTCAAGACTGGTCTAGTGAAACCCACAAAAACAGCTAAACTGAAAAAAAACGGGAGTTCATGAACCCCAGACTGATGATTGAGAGGCCAGCATGGGACTGATCCAGACCCCCTGAATGTAGGTGTCAGTGAGGAGGCCTCCACAATCTATGGGGCCTTGGATAGTAGATCAGTATTTATCCATGGCATACAAATAGACTTTGGGAGACCATTCCACATAGAGGGATGCTCTCTCAGCCTGGACACATGGGGGAGGGCCTAGGCCCTTCCCTGGATGATATGTCAGACTTTGGAGATCCCCCATACAGGACCTCACCCTCACTGGGGAGATGAAATGAGATGGGGTTGGGGGTTAGGGAGGGTGGGTGTGCAGTGGTGGAAGAGGATAGGGTGAGGGAACTGGAATTGACATGGGAAGCAAGCGTGTTTCAAATTTAAATAAAAATATTATTTAATGGGAAAAAATGAAAAATGAGTAGAATGTAAGACAATAACTAACAGAGTAAGGTCTTATTATTATTACACATATAAATGAAAACATGATTTATGGCCAAAAATAAATAAATTTTTAAAAAAGGAAGGAAACCCAAAGTAACATAAAAAAACACAGTTGGGTTTTCATTATTATGCAAAGGAGACAAGAAGAAGGGAGAGAGGGGGAGAGAAAGGGAAGAAGAGAAAAATAGATGAAGGGAGGAAAGAAGGAAGGATTAAGGGGGAGGAAGGGAGGAAGGGAGGGAAGGAGGGAGGGAAGGGAAAACGGACACAGAGAGGAAGAGGTGCACAACAAGGTTACATCTCCTAATCCTTACCAAACAGTTCCATTCTTTGCTATTAAGCATACAAAATATAAGCCTATGGGGACCATTCTCATTCAAACCGCCACATTTGTGATTATATTTCTCCTCTGGCAGTGGGCATAACATTGTTATGAAAACTAGCAAGGTATGTTCTATGACTCTTGTACATGATGTCTTCAGGCACAGAGGATTTCCATCAAATTCTGAGTAGTAACCAAGAGCATTGTCAATAGCCTATAATTTTTGAGGGATTATGGACCCTCCCTTACCAACAACTCCAAAAGTTTTAACCCATTCCTGGCATTGAGTTTATTTTGTTTGTTTGTTTGCTTGCTTGCTTGTTCTGTCTTGTCTATTTGTTAAACTGTCATGAGTAGCAGGGATATTGTTTCCAATTTAAAGGCAAAAATATGTAACTGTTTTATGAATGATTTGTTTGTGTTTTAAATGTTCTATAGTAGTCAGTTTCCAAGTGGCTATTTCAGAATATCTTTAGGGTTAATATTCCTTTCCTGTATTCCATTTTCCACCCTGCCCTCCCATCCCTGTCACAATCCACATATCTGCCCCCATTTAACCCAGTTTCCTTTTTTTCTATTAAATTTTTATTTCCTAAAGATAGTGCACAGCCACTGTTCCAAAGTCGTGACCTATCCCTACCCTGACTGCATTAAATCACCTTGTTGATAATGTCTGGGGACTGGTGGTGATGGTCTCTCCTAGATAGAGCAGGAAACTGGAAAAAACACACTATGGAGAAAAGAAGTGCTCAAACACAAGGATCCAACTCATGTACCTTAAGAATTTGCCTAGCACAGAAGGTTACTATCATGCTGCTGGTGACTATGATTTTAAAACTTCATTTGGGTCTGTATAAAAGATCATTGAACTGTGAAACGCATGGTCCTTAGTGAGTATTTTACTGGTTTTAACAAGAAATAACTATGACAATCAAACCA